TTGCAATATAATTTTTGAATATTTAAGATCTAATTAGAACTTGGAGATCCAGAAAATATAGATCATTCTCAATTTTAACTGCAGAATCTATAAATATAGATAGTACCACAATAAAAAAGAATATAGTCTATCCAGACTCTGTAAATTCTGCACAATGTTGTTCAATTTTTGCAATATAATCTCTGAATATTTAAGATCAAATAAAGTTAGAATATTAAAAGCTTCATCGATAAAGCTTGAAGACCCAGAAACTATCATACATCATTCTCAATTTAAAAATTAGCGTCCACAGACCTAGATAGCTCGGTAATGAAAAAGGCTATATTCTATCATAGATCATTCCAACTTCCCCGACATCATCTCCAAACATTTATCCCGAGCTTCTCTTCAATTTCTTCTCTGCGGTGGGTAATTAACCCTCTTCCAGCCACCCAGTTATCAATTAGAGCATCAATTATCACCACTTCAGTAGCCTAACCGTTCCAAACAACCGTTCCAGTCGTCCAGCAAACTAGGATCGATGAGCACACACGTTCGATCCACGAATTCCCCGTCGTTTCGTTGTAAAAGTGAAAATCGTGTGCTGTGGATGGACGTTTCAACAATACAATCTGGTGTGTTCGGATGATTTAAAAGTCCATAGGAAGAGGCAGGCGAGTTCACCGCGACTTACTAAAAATAAGCGTACGCCCCTTATCAGGCCGGTTCAAGTTTACACAATCTTGTTTGCACAATACTCGTGAAACCGTGCAACAATACGGCTTCGAGTGTCATTGGCTACACGTGGACTCTCTCTCTCTTCTGGACCATTTATTTACAGCATTGTTAAACGACCTGACGAAATTCTTTTCCCTTCTTCTTCTTCTTCTTCTTCGTCTATCCATCATCTCTTGTATATTCCCAGATATACAAGAGACATGATCGTGACAGATTATCCGCAGCCATTCGTATTTATATCCACGGCGACCTTGCGTTCAACGAGACTACGATCAACTTGAGGAACGTTGAACCTTTCTCCGTGAATTTTCTCATCTGTGAGATTCAGATACGGCGATGGAGTTGTTCTGGAAATATAGAAACTTGGAAAATTATTTCTTCATTTTTTAAATTTCAGTGATAAAGGAATTCTTGTTAGGTTCGTGATGGAATTTTCTCACCCGAGAGATTCAGATATCCTGAGAACTAAGTTGACGATGATGGAATTGTTTTGGCAATTTAGAAACTTGGAAAATTATTTCTTCATTTTTTAAATTTGAGTGATAAAGAAATTTTTGTTCGGTTCACGATGGAATTAATCCGGGGGATTTTGAAAATTGGAAAATTTGGAAGATTGGAGAATGAATTCAACGACTATGATCAACTCGAGGATCGCTGAACCTTTCTCTATGAAATTTCTCATCTGAGAGATTCAGACGTAGCGATGGAATTGTTCTGCAAATTTACAAACTTAGACAATTATTTCCTCGTCGTTAAAATTTGACCGATGAACGAATTCTCGTTACTATCGCGATGGAATTATTCCGGAAGATCTTGAAAATTTGGAAACCTCGAAGATCGGAGAACGAATTCTTGTTAATACTTTCGAAAATGACGAGCAGAAACGAAGGGAATCCGAAATTTCCCAGTGGTTTCACTTCTCATTACTACCCACATTCGCCGATTATTATCATTATCACTGTCGCCAGAGTAGTCTGAATGGTCGAGGATCCAATTCAGGTTGTACACGAGCAAACAAATTCGTTGATCGTATCAAACGATTATTCAGAAGTATATCTAATTATCGTCCACTGTGATCTTTCAATCAAGCTCACCGTTACGATCTCGAGTTTCACCAGAAATTCGCCGTTCAACTGGATCGACCGGTGGCGGTTCCTCCGTTAATTCCGAGCTCCAAGGGGCAGTTCTCTTGATAATTATTTTCAGAAGCAGCAGTAAGCAGCTACGATAAATCTTTTGCCGTTTGTGTACGTGTGTTTAGGAAGCATTATCCAGATAATTATACCATCGGTAAATTTAGGAAGGCAGTAGTGCTCCCGAGATAATTCCAAGGAAAATATTGTTCATCTGGAAGCTTTCGGTAATTTACGTTTCTGTTCCATTGACATTATCGCGGAACGGTTGATAGATTTGTGAGTGTTGCAACAGAGAGAAAGAGAGAATAAACAAAATGCAACGAAGAGGATTTCACGGTATTTTCGAAGGAGGAGTTGGTACGTAAACGTTGCCGAGAATCTGGTTGACATAGGTCGTATCTTATCGTCGATTTACAAGATGACAGATACAAAGTCACGCCTCGTTAGAACATTGGAGCTTTAGACCGTCACTCGATTGTCCACGGTCTTTCATTTTTGGCTGAGAAACGGACACGCTCTCTAGGCCTACCCTGTTTCACTGTCGCTCTCTGAAGTGTTTCTGGAAACCTTTTCTATTCGGGATTGATCGGTGAATTCGTGGTACGTAATGATTTTGTTGTATCTGAAAGTAATTGTTTTTTAATTTCAGTGACAAGTGATGTAGAAACGATCGATGTTACTGTGTTTAGAAAAGGATTCTGTCTTTTAAATTTGGGTTCTAAACGATCGAGGAATGATCCATTTGCGTTGTTGTATTTTTAAACAATTCTTTCTTTTAAATTTGAGTTAAAAGTGATCGAGGGATGATCCATTTCCATTACTGTATTTAAAGAAATATTCTTTCTGTAAAATTTGAGTTCTAAATGATCGAGAAATGATACATTTCCACTTTAGAATTAAAAAAATTTTCTTTCTTTTAAGTTTGAGTTCCAAGTGATCGAGAAGTGATCCATTTTCACTATAGAATTAAGAGAAAATTCTGTCTTTTAAATTTGAGATCTAAATTACCGAGAAACAATACACTTCCATCACTGTATTAAAAAAAAAATTTCTTTTTCTTTTAAATTTGAGTTCCAAACGATCGAGAAACGATACACTTCATTACTGCACCTCTGTTAAGAAATGATCTCGAGTGGACCAGTTACAGATCACATGAATGAAACACCAGAAGCTGTATTTCAAGTTTACAGTTCATCCACATGTTGCATTGCCGTTTAAAGGCTGAAAAAAGAGACCGTATGCCTGTAACGTGGAGGCTGATTCTCAAGCTGAAGGTCGGCTAGGAGCATTGAGAAAGGTCAAGGCCGGCCGAACACGGCGAACAATCGGCACGTGACGTGAACTATCAGCTCGTTTGGGATCGGCAATTTAACGAGCTGATTGCTCCTTTTACTCGTGGGACTATACTTCGTGTATGTGGCCTAATCAGCTGTGAAAAATTTTCTCACGACGAACTTCATCGTTAGCCTCTTAGGCCTCTTCAATGCGTTCTACGTCGCAGTCAACATGTGAAGTACTCGGTCGTTTGATCAGAAATGATCCACGATCCACGTTGTTTCCTCGAAGTGTAGCCTTTCACTTGATTTTCTTTTTACCGAAGTGAATCTTCGATCTTCTCGGTGAATCTTTAATCTATTGTCGAGTTGTAGATGAAAACTATAAGATCGGTAAGTAGTACGTTTCTTACTGATTGACGAAGCCACGTTGTTTCTGTGAAGTGTAGCGTTTCACTCCAATTGTTTTTTTCTTAATTAACACTTGCTGAAGTGAATCTTCAATCTATTGTCGAGTTGTACATGAAAGCTATAGTATCAGTAAGTAGTCAAATTTCTTATTCATTGATGAAATCTACGTTGCTGCTTGGAAGTGTATCATTTCACTCGATTTTTTTTTTCTTTTATTCGATCCTTGCTGAAGTGAATCTTCAAAGACAGCGAGTTGTAGGTGAAAAGAATAGCATCGGTAAGCAGTGCTGTTTGGAAGTGTATCATTTCACTCGATTCTTTTTTTCTTTTATTCAATCCTTGCTGAAGTGAATCTTTAAAGACAGCGAGTTGTAGACGAAAACAGTAGCATCAGTAAGTAGTAAAATTTCTTATTCATCGATGAAGTCCACGTTGT